TGGTGCGTGTCATCTAGCATGTCTGCTACCCTGGCATCATCATTGAAAGCCTCGAGCCGTGGTCTCACCACCTCCTTCCTGATACGATCGGCTTCACCATGGTGGATCCACCGGTGGTTGCCCGGAGTAAATCCAAACTTCACAATATGTTTACCCATGGTTAACCTATCTTTCCTTCTTCTGTTGTCATAACCGCTGCACGGACAAACCACTAGAGAATGGCCTCCAGCACTCTCGCCATATGCATGCTGTAAGAATTCTTCGACCTTGACTATAAACAGCAAGTCGTAATCGTGCTCGTCTCTCCGGAGCGTGTACATCCACTCACGGTCCTCCATCCTTTAAAAGACGTATCAGCACATATGAGTCACCATCAATTGCATCTACGCGGTGTCCCTACTCTCTAATAGGTGAGGATAGGTCCTAATCCCACCCGCGAATCCATAGATGAGGTTAGTTTCCATGGTCCGCTCCTATTCGAGACGGAATTTTGGCAGCACCTCCCTGCTGTTCTCCCGATACATGTCCTGCAAGGGAGAGTGTGTATCCGGAGAACAACAGGGGGATGATGCCGAAACACCGTCTCGGACCGGAGCGGAGCATAGAAACTAACCCATCTACGTATCCGCGGGTTGTCCAAAAAACATGGACAATCCGAAACAGAAACGCTCGCAAATATGCAAAGATCTGCATACCTCCAAAGATATCTCTTTCGGACGGAAGACGCCTAACTAGGCTACACCGATCTACGACGACAGATAAGCAGAAAAAGAGATGATTTATACCTAGGGTGTCGGTGAAGTCAGGCTAGCGAGGCAGTGGCGAGTCGACGCAGTGGCAAGGCGACGCAGTGCAGGTAGACCCGCAACGCCGACGAAGACGATCGGGGACCTCCGGGTCACCTCCGATAGGTCCTACTCTACAAAAGAAGAAACACGACACTATAAGTTCAAAATTTCAGCAGCACCTCCCCTGCACGGGGAGGTTTCCAAAACCTGCAAAAAACAACGGCACGAAGGCCGACAATCACAAACGGCACGAAGGCCGATAAGCACAGTGGCACGAAGGCCAACATCACAACGGCACGAAGGCCGACAAGCGGAGAAAGGGTGGATATACCTTGCCGACGCTCATAGGCGGTTTGGTGATGGTAGGGGCGTTGGCGGGATGGGCACGCGGAGAAGACGGCCAAGGCACCTCCTCCTCCCCTCCACCTCGGCTTCCTCCCCCTCTCCCCCTCTCCCCTTCTCCTCCTCCTTCTTCCTGTTTCTTCTCTTTTTTCCTTCTCCTTCTTCTTCCTTTTCCTTCTCTTTCTTTCTCCTCTTTTTTCTTCCTTCTTCTTCCTTCTTCTCCTCCCTTCTTCTTCTTACTGTTGCTTCCTCCTCCTTCCAAGCCGGCGGCAAGAGCAGGGGAGCACAGTATGCTGCAGGACCGGTGCGTCAGGGGGGACGACGCAAGACGCCGGTGGTGGCAAGACGCGTGATTTGGCGGTGGGATGCCGGCTGACGGCCGTGGGGCTGCTGCTGGGAGCCAAGGTCCGGAAAGCGGCTGCACCAGAATGGGATGTGGCAAGCTGCGCGGGACCGAGCAGAGCGCGGGCGGATATGGTTCTGGGGTTGGGGGTGGGGGAGGATTTTGGGCCGGCGGCCCATTTTCTATTGGGGCTTTGCCGAGTGCTTCAAAAAGGGGCACTCTGGCAAATTTTTTTTATTTTTTAAAAACATATTTTGCCGAGTGTAAGCCTTGAGCACTCGGCAAAAAAAATTTTAATTTTTTAAAACTTATTTTGCCGAGTGCCAGCGCTAGGCACTCGGGATTTTTTTTTATTTTTGAAAATCAACTTTGACGAGTGCCCCCTGGGCCAGCACTCGGCAAAGTCCACTTTGCCGAGTGTCCCCCCATGGCACTCGGCAAAAAAAAAATTATTTTGGGCCCAAATTTTTTTTCTGTGGCCTTGTGACAGTATTTCAAACTCTATTTTAAAATTTGGGGCAATTTTGACTTTTTTTGATATATTTCATTAGTTTATTTCGTTTCGTCGAATTTTTTGGGATATTTCAAATTTGAACTGATACATGGAATAATGGACTTTGGTCATCCAAAAATTGATACTCATGATATTTAGGGTATGTTTAGGCCGTATCCAGGAACTCACATGAAATCTCGAGAGCATCTCGTTGACGTAACATGTCGAGGTACTTGCCAGAAATGTGATTTTAAATTATATAAAATGCAAACGAAGTCCAAAAATCATGAAACTTATCGAGGCGTCGTGTTATCGCATGTGGAGGCTATGGTAAAAAATTGTGAAGGTTTCGAGCAAGTTGTGACGTCGGATGCCAAAAACCCAGACATCACAACTTGCTCGAAACCTTCACAATTTTTTACCATAGCCTCCACATGCAATAACACGACGCCTCGACAAGTTTCGTGATTTTCGGACTTCGTTTGCATTTATATAATTTAAAATCACATTTTCGGTAAGTACCTCGACATGTTACGTCAACGAGATGCTCGAGATTTCATGTGATTTCCTGGATACGGCCTAAACATACCCTGGAGGTTGTGGTAAAAAATTGTGAAGGTTTCGAGCAAGTTGTGACGTCGGATATATCTAGGTTTTTGGCATTCGACGTCACAACTTGCTCGAAACCTTCACAATTTTTTACCACAGCCTCCACAAGCGATAACACGACGCCTCGACAAGTTTCGTGATTTTCGGACTTCGTTTGCATTTTATATAATTTAAAATCACATTTCCGGCAAGTACCTCGACATGTTACGTCAACTAGATGCTCGAGATTTTAAGTGAGTTCCTGGATACGGCCTAAACATACCCTAAATATCATGAGTATCAATTTTTGGATGACCAAAGTCCATTATTCCATGTACCTGCAGTTCAAATTTGAAATATCCCAAAAAATTCGACGAAACGAAATAAACTAATGAAATATATCAAAAAAAGTCAAAATTGCTCCGAATTTTAAAATAGAGTTTGAAATACTGTCATAAGGCCACAGAAAAAAATTTGGGTCCAAAATAAATAAAAAAATATTTTGCCGAGTTCCATGGGGGGCACTCGGCAAAGTGGGCTTTGCCGAGTGCCGGCCTAGGGGGCACTCGGCAAAGTTGATTTTCAAAAATAAAATAAAATTTTTTGCCGAAAGTGCCCGCATTGGCACTCGGCAAAATAAGTTTTAAAAATTAAAAAAAATTGCCGAATGCCCAAGGCTTACACTCGGCAAAATATGTTTTAAAAAATTGTCGAGTGCCTTGGTCCGCTCTCAAGCAAAATAAGTTTTAAAGAATAAAAAAATTTGCCGAGTGCCATATATGGCACTCGGCAAAAAATATGTTTAAAAAAAAAAAAAAATTGCCGAGTGCTCAATGGCACTCAGCAAAATAAGTTTTTAAAAAAAAAAAATTGCCGAAAGTGCTATCTCGTTAGGCACTCGGCAAAATCGACCGCAGGTGGTGGCCGCCATCACGGGGTCGCCACCTTTTGCCGAGTGGGATCTGTTGTCGAAGTGTCGCGGCACTTTCAAGAAAGCCGAAGCTTTGCCGAGAGCCAGGCTTTGCCGAGTGTTCGGCACTAGGCAAAGCCACCTTTTGCCGAAAGTGCTTTATTTTGCCGAAAAGCGGCACTCGGCAAAATATTGCTTTGCCGAAAGTGCCCCGATAAAAAGCACTCGGCAAAGTCTCGCACTGCGCAAGTACAGTTTTCAAAGAGTGTCTCGAGGTAAAAAAAACTTCAATCACATATTCACATGAGAAAAAGAGTGTTCGGTTTGAGGAATGGTTTTACTCCTTGCTTTTTTTTCTTTGTTTAGTGAAATGAAATGGATTGATCCATCGTCACAAATAACATTATAAATAGTGTGTGTATGCTTGTTTGGCAAATGATGCTTCCTTCGGGTACAAACTTTATGTGACACTTCCATTGACACTAAGGAATCAAACCATTCTAGATGAATTGATATTAAGAGACCGAACTATTCTAAAAGAGGTGGTGCATCTTGAGTCTAGTCCTCAAATTTGGTGAAATAATGCTTAGTTTTCATTCCTCGTACTAGTACTAATTATTAGTTTGTGAGGAATGATGTTACGATGAATCAATCCATTACATTCCAGAAACCAAATAAAAAGGTGAGGAGTGAAAAGGTCATGGTCTAACTCATTCTTTAAACTATTCCTTAAACTAATCACCCTATAAATGTTTCAATGTAGATGCAAGTGTTTCAAGGTAGATGCAAGAACTAACATTATATGGGTGCTATTTGTGCCCAGCAACGTTATTTCAATGTACAGTGACAGTTCCTACTAAACATAAATATATAAAATTTAAGGAGCAATGAAAACAGAATGTGTCAATTCTGTTGTCCAGGACACGGCATTTAGTTGCTCTTTGTCATAGCCACAAAGGGTTCAGATAGCCCTTGGCTACAGAACCACACTTAATGCAATTACAAGCGCACAGAACTGAGAAAGTAACGCTTATCTCTTACTCCGTATCTATTTGTTTCAAAAGAGAAAAAAGGAATGAGCAGAACAAAACTGCGGTTGACAAAATCAACTCCTCTTGACTGGGGTCGGTGAGCATGGATTACTAACCATATTCACATTCCTTGTATTATTTGCTCAACCATGAACCATCTATGCAGAGATTTATGGTGATTGGAATGGAGCCAGTCCTGAACGGAGATATCCTATCCAACATTTTTACAGACAAAAAGCAACAAATGAAGATTGTAGCGATCATGACCCATCACCAAAAGAGAACTTATACAACCTTTTTTCCCCTCTAGGAGTATAGTTAGAGCTTTGTTAGGCTTCTGAAATGAGATGTCTTCATCCTAGCTCTAGTCGCTGGCGGTACTGTTTGAATCTACACTAGCTTGGGGCTGCGATGAAGGTAGATAAGACCAGACAATGGCTGTGGCACCAAGGGTGACTGCAAGCCCAACTGAACCCCAGAACCACTTCTGTCGCTTCTTACGCTCCTAGCGTTGTTGCCTTGACATCTCTGCAAACCACAAGAAAAAAATGCAAGCATTAATATGCTGGAATACAAAAGTACACAGTACTAAAAAACCTATCAATATATCATCTATTAAATGTTTCTCAAACAATTCAGCCAACATTTTTCCCTCAAGTGAAAGGCAGGCAGCCAACACTAGTATGGTTAAACCAACCCTTGTTAAATGCCGATTGATACAAGTCGATCTCAATAAGTGGATGAGTGTAGTGCATACGTAGCCTCAATTCTACTACGTTAGACAAAGTCATTTAGCTCGACGTTAATTAAGAGAGTATAGGAGGAATACTTCCACGACAACAAACATATTTCATGTTAGTTAGAACCTAGAAAACAGATATAATATATTTTGCATATCCAATATAGAATGTCTGTAAGCTTTTTGCATCCAGTTCCCACAGATGTTCACCTCTCATATAATTTATCGAACACCTGAAAACTATATACAATCAGCAGTGTTCTAAAAGAACAAGGAGAGGAAGGGAGGGTACCACCTAGGACTTAGGTGCCGACTAGGAGGATTTTGTGCCCATGATTTTGTTTACGGGCTGCACAACTACCTTAGATTCTATATAAGCCTTTCATAGGGGTGTCACCATTTCAAATAGTATTAATCAAGGTCATCTTCTGTACAAAAATTACCACTGAACAAAATATAGCCAACTGCAATGGAGAAAGTATTTACCGATAGCTTCTTGGTTTCTTTGGGACATTTCCCTGTTTGCAGCTTCATAGTACTGGACCCTATCCGACAACCTTGCAATCTCTAAGTTCTTTGCAGATTTCAGCACGGGCAAAGCCCTGGGCAATAGCAGCAGCTACAAGTTATGAAACAGTTATTTGCTGGCACAACTCAGCTCCAGGATCCACACTTGAATCATCAGTATCCTCAGCTATACTTGGAGATGGAAGTGATAAGGCAACATATGATAGGTGGTGACTCAGCTTCTTCCATTCCTTCTGCCAGATCTCAAGTGTTTCTTCTGCTTGCTTCCTCCTCTCAATTTCCATCAACAGACTTAGCCTCATTTCACGGAGGTCATCATCCATGGCTCGTGAAGATCGAGTTCCACCATCACTTTGATATCAGAAATGCCAAACAACAATGGGGAGGGCGCCCTCCCCTTATCTCCCGGCGTCCATTTCGCATTAAGATTCGTGCTGGAGTGTTTCAAAATCCGTGCGTCGGTGCTTTAAAACCCGTGCGCCAGTGCTTTTTTGACCTGCACGAATCACGGAACAAACTGAGCCGTAGGATAAGAGGTGTGCGCCCACCCCATTGTGGAAATTGCAAGTTGCTTTCATATTTCTGAGTTTTCACAAAAAAACATTGAAGTTAGCACAAAAGCACCATAGCAACCACTAGTTCTGAATACATCAAGGCGTCCAGAAATTTCCATAGTAAAACGGGCAATTTTCCCAGTAAAATAGAAAAGATTAGCAGAAACTATCTCCATGCAACATTTAATGTATCCTAAACAGTTCCAATCATTTGGGGTAAAAGACCTTAGCTCATGGTGATCAGTCATTACAATGCAAACGCAATAGATGATTACAGAGTATCACATGATTGAAGAGAAGATAGATTCAACCAAATAAAGATGACTGAGGCAAATCAAAACAGTGGCAACTGTAAAAAATCAAACCCTAACAGGGCTAAAGGCATAACTGGGAGAGACTACACATACTCCACATTTCTAGTTCTAGCCTGAAACTAACTCATATCGTGGAAAATCATATGTAGGAAGACTTTTGCATACCTCTAACAACATCAAAAATTACTGTGAGCGTTATTGTTACACATTAAAAAAAAACAGAAGCAGAAAACTTAGGACTGGAGAAATTGTCAATCTGCCAAAAGGGTAAACTCCTAAGATCAATTCTACTTTAAAAACACTGTAGCAAAACTTACAAGAAAAAGCAGAACATGATGAATCTTACATCTTAGGAGACCAACGACCAGGATATTTTCTCCTACACAGTTGGTACTGAGTTTGTTTGTACCCATACCCTTTCAGCAGTTTTTTAATAGATAGCCTTTCAGCAGCTTTTCTCCTACATATTTCTTTTTCCCAATAGAGGTCCCAAGAGGGGAACTGGGCTTCCACCACCGCTCTTGCGTACCAGCATCATCAGCTTCAGTATTGCTAGCCACGCTCATCGAATCCTGAAGTTCAAGGAAGGTGTCACTCTCATCATTTTTTGGTGCTCCACCAACCAAAGGCCTTCCAACATTAACAGGCCTCACTAGTGCTTCAAAACTTCCACGCTGAAACTCAAACTCAGGCTGCTTCTGCTCATTTTTGGCTGATTTCATTTTCTCCATTGATGGTAGCCTCTTCCACACCGCTGTCACCTTCAGCTTGGCCATTCCCTGATTGCAGAAACGCAAACTCAGGCTCCTGCACTGCAGTGGGTTCACCCCCTTTGGGCAAAGCAGACAGCATCACTGGGAGCTTCGGCTGGCTGCCCTCACTTCCAACATCACCCTGAGAGAAGGTCTTGGCAAGGGAGGCCCCCCGCCTCTTATGGTTGATGATGTACGGCGACCAGGTTCCGGGGAACGAGGAAGGTGAGTCAGGCAGGGTGGTGCTCTCAGGCGTGGCATAGAGTGATGCCGGCGACGTCTGCGTCCTAACAGGAGCCACCGGCACGGGCGTGGCCTTGTCCGGAGGCGAGGGCGGCGGCTTGGGCGTGGCTTTCTGGACCTGCGCAGGCGACCCCGTCTCAAGGAAGGGATCCAGCACGTAGTGCGTGATGGTCGGCATGGGGATGCAGCTGCAGGAGGGGAATCAATGACGGCTGCACCTCCCTGGCATCAACGTGGACCTGAATCAAAATTGACATGAGAAATTCGACGTCAGAATAGATCAAATCCTGCTCGGAGTGGGGGGAAATATGCCACGATTGGGGGATTCCGATCGAAAATATTCGGAAGCAGCATTTCAAGCGGAACACGTAGCCTCTGGCTTGAGAATATGAGATGGTGATATGCACACGAATCATTCCCCGAAAGAAAAAAAAAAGAGGAGAAAACGTTCAATATTCCCCACCCTGTGAGGCTGTGATTACATACCAACACGAAATCGGGCGAAGGAACGCACGAATCATACTCGTCTCAAATCCAACAGCTCCGTTGCAAAATTTGACCAAAAAATCGACCAACCCCACCACGCGTGAGAGAGGAACACCCAAATCCGCCTCACCGACGACCCAACACCAGATGAGGCGGGACCGTCGCCCCCAAAAACCAGCCGCGCAGCATCCTGGCAGCCGAACGAATGGAACCTCCCACCCACACCCCCACCCCCACCCCTTCGGCGCGAGATCACCGACGTCGAAGGACGATAAGATTCGATCCAGGTAGCAGCACTCACCTGGCAGGGTCCGGGTCCCGGAGGCGCCGCGCCTCCACCGAGAAGATGGGAAACCCTAGCAGAGGCAGCTGCGCTCCACCTCCTTCCCTTGGCGGCTTGGCCTCGAGGAAGAGAAGACGGCGTTGGCCTTTTTTTGTGTGTTTCCTTTCCCACGGCCGCAGCGGCGACGGTCGCGCGTTTGGATTCGAATTCAAGGGACCGGACAAGCGGCGCGAGGGCGAGGGCGAGGGCGAGCCTCGCTGGCGCAGCCAACCGCGCAAGGCAACGACAAGCTTGGGGCAGAGGAGGGATTAGGGAAGGTGCGCGATTTTTGCTGCGGTCGGGGGCCGGTTGTCAGCCGCGGATGGGTAGCCAGGTGGGCGCTGGCGCGAAAGAAAGAAAGAAAGGCGTGTGCGTGGACGAGGGTGACTGCCTGAATGGTCCGTGCTTCCCCTGTTCGTGCTCGGTTGGCGCGGCTTCCGGATGGGATGGACCGTGGACGGACCCTGTCGGGGCTCGGTGGGAGCTTCGCAGGGATGGAATCGGACACATTTTATTTAATGGAAAATACGAATACGGATTCCGATATCCTCGAATACGATGTCTCGGATTCGGATTTCTCTTCGGATATTTACTCAAGTCAACTCAAAATGTAAATTGTTAAATCTAATATGCATGAATAAAATTTTACTACTAATTACATCGTTAACCAAAGTGAACTAAATGAGAGTACACTTCTAATAATCTTCAATATCGAAGTAAACTAAATTATAATAGATAATATTGATAAAATAATAGATCAAGCGAAGAAATTGAAATAAAAATGGTAGAAAACAAATAACCATTTTAGTTTATCAATAGTACTGGAATTATAAAATTATCACACAAGTAGAGATTAAAGCATTTATGTAGCACCCAGTTTTAAGGACAAAACCAGATACACACTATATGTGAGGCTAGGAAGTCAAATCTTACATATAGCTACAAATAAGGGTAATATCAATCGACAATGCTTAAATACATAACGTATTAGTATAAAGAATATAAACTCAGAGTATAGACAGCGGAAAGACAACTCCGATCTTCAGACGAAGACTCCAAATTCACAGGGACAACTAACTGGTTGATCACAAGCCTAATTTCTCCAAACTCTAGCAATCTAGTACCCATCCGAGATTTTTACCCAAATAATTGAAAAATAAAGCAAGCGTAAGTACATATCGTACTCAATAAATATAACATGGGGTTCATGAGGTTCAAAAGGCTAACACTGGTTTAACTGCGATTAGCTTTTAATGAAACATCTTTTAGCAATTGAGTGGCAACAAATTTATTCACAAGCCCATATAAACACATGATCAGATAAACATGAGTAATGAATAGCATAAACAATAATCTTTAGTGAGCATCTTTATCATCAGTGTTCATCATCATTAACCATTAATAACCATCTATTCCGTAAATGTTCCAATGCCGCTCGTGACCATGAGCACAGCTGATATACTAGTTTTACACTCTGCAGAGGTTGTACACTTTCACTGTGAGTCGTGATTTACCTTTTCGCCCGAGGTCGCGAGCCTCTTGACCCACTACCAAGGAAGGTCGGCAGGGTTTACTATGAAACCTTTCAAAGGTTCGTCTAACAAGTTAGGGCCGCTAAGGTTTCCTCATCAATAAGCATGAACCCCCCTCCAAGGAGTGACTAACAAAATACAAAGAAACCAAAGTACACCCTCTTGGCAGGCCAACATCATACAAACCGGAGCCCCTCTTACGCCATAAAGGTAACCACTGATAAGCTAGAAAATATCCTCATACTAAGCTAAAGCCAGAGCCATATAGCCTTCGCAGCTGTACTGTAAGTCCCGGATGATTACTTACAGATAAGTCCTTATGGAAAGAAATCTAGAGCATTTAGAAACTAGCTAAACACTCCGGCCCCCTATTTTCATATTGCTAAAAAGCATCTTTTAGTGTTTATTGTATATACCATTAGTTAAGTTACAAGATCATGGTTGTAGTTGAGCACTAGCATCATACTACCCAATACAATACCCCATAAGTATCAAGGCACAAGGTACAAAGTACTAGAAAATCCTTAGTGGTAGTCAAGGTAGACACATGTAGTATGATAAGTGATTAATGGTGTATAGGACAACAAGGAAGATCCCATGCTATACTTGTCTTAAAACACCGATCCTTCGGTAAGCTTTAATCTAAAACGTTCTTCTTCTTCTTCTTCTTGATCACCACGTATATCTCACCGACTGAATATGATAATAAAGCACCATACAACCATTCATGCAATCATACACGAAGCAAACAATAGATCTAAATTAGAATAATACACCAAACATAAAATCAAGATGAAAAGTTTGTAAAACGAACCTACGTCTCGCTATGAACACACATACGCGAAAAGCACGCTAATCGGAGCTAAGGTGAAAAAGATACATCAACCGATAAAATTGGCTTAATACGTGAAAAAGAAAACTATAGGTTTCATTTATTTTATCTATATAAATTCATATGTATAAGATATTTTATAAATAATATAAATTGAATCAAGTTAAATTTAGATTTGAATTATAAAACTAAAGTAAAACAAATTATATTTTATTTATAAAATTTAGTTGCATAATTATTATTCAAATTAGAGTTAAAACAATGAAATTCCAGAAATAGTATCATGATAAACATTGTTACTAACGCGTAGATCTTGTTGCAATGAATCTAGCACAACTTAAACGGGTCAATTCGGGGCTAAAGCGTAGAAGATATGAATTAAACAAGATTTCCTTTATTAAAATAATAAATTAAATCTAACCTCAAATTTTAAAAGTTGAAAACATACTTAATAGTACTATAAGCATATAGATTATGAAATTACGAACCTAACGCAAGTTGAATGGGTCAAATCGGAGTTAAAAACGGAAAAGTTATGGCCTGAAGAAGGTAGTTGCAAAGCTATAAATAAGTGAAAACGTATTTTGGATCTAAACCAAAGAAACTATGCTTTCCAAAGAAGAAAATGTACTCTGTGATTGCGCTTTGGACTACGGGTTTGAAAACGGAAAACTAGAGGGGCTCTTTAGAAATTATGCCAGCGCGAAGAGGTAACATGAAATCTCGACCGTTGGATCTATTTTGGACGGTTGAGAATAGAAGCAAGGGAGAGAGGACGCACGCCGGCCGGAAAGAGAAGACGGCGGCGGTGGTCAGCCATTGCCCGCGATAGAGCTTCACCGAAACAGTGATTCTGGGTGCGATTGCTTCAACGAAGGACTTGGGGAGATGGAGAAGAGAACGACGAGCTCACCTAGCTCCTTCACGCGGACGAGAGCAGATCCGTGGCGGCATGGAGAGGATGGGGTAGCGTGCGGCTCTCCAAGCTCGCGGCGGCTAGGGCCACGGCGACTCGCGTGAGGATGGCTGTGGCGTTGGAGGGCGGAGTAGGGAGGCGGCGCAAGGTGCGGCTCGGCTTATATGGGGCTGGCGCGGCTTGGGCGGCACGGCACCGGACGCGGCGGAAACGACGCGGAGTCCCAGTGGTGGAGTCCGGAGCGATGACGAAAGGTGGGAGAAAGGCCTGACGGACGGGGCTTACCTGTCAGCGATAGAGAAGGGGAAAGGAGGAACACGGCGTCGGCCTGGTTGGGCCGGCTGGCTTGCTGCTGGGCCGCGGAAGCGGAAGCCGAGCGGGGAAACGGGGAGCAGGAAGCAGGCCACGCGGTTAGAGCGAGCTGGGCCGCGAGATCAGGAGGAAGAGAGCTAGGCCGTTCGGCCAGAAGAGAAGGGGGAAAGGTTTTTCATTTTCAAATCTTTTTTCCATTTTGTTTTCAAATTCAAATCCAAATGCAAACCAAATCAAATTCGTATATGATTTAAAATACATTTTTTAATTCTAATAAAAATGAGAAATTTTATTAAGTTTTTCAAGAATAAATTTTACAACTTGTTGAACTCTTTTATTTTCAGATTTTCTTTTCCATTCTTTTCTTTTACTTCAAAGCCATTTTTAATTTCATTTGCAAAAGCAATTTAAACCATTTTAAATTTTTCGTCAAAACCACTCAACCAAATAAATCAAATGCAAGGGCATTTATGCTCAAACATATTGCTACCTTATGATAAATTTTAATTTAATAAAAAAATTAATTTTCCTATATTTCATGTGCACAAAAATACACAACTAAATCACTTTAATCCTATTTTCAAAAGAGGCAAATTTTAGGGTGTTACAATTTGTGTATATAACATACACAAGCATAGCACGTAAAAATAATATAGTTATCAATAAATATTTAATAACTAAATATATCAATTAATCAATCAATATTATATTTATATAAATATTTATTATGAAATTATAAATTTATATAAATATTTATTATGAAATTAAATAATTTATA